TTTATTTACTTGAGTTACAGAAAGAGGAGACAGAAACAGATCTTCCATCTGCTGGTTGCCACAATGTGCCAAATGGCTGCCACAGCCACAGCTGAGCTGATTTGAAACTAGGAGCCAGGAGCCTCCTCCGCACCTCCCCAAGCACTTGGACCATCTTCCACTGCTCTCCCAGGTCACAGTGACCAGGGCTGGGTCAGGGTGAGGCCAGGAGCTTCTTCAGGGTCTCCTGCAAGGGGGCAGAGGCCTGTGTTCCTTCACACCTTGCATCGGCCCTGTAGCACTATGTTTCCAGAACTGTGTGGGCCTGGGCTGATAGGGAGCCTCTCACGCCCCAACAGGCCCAGCAGGCCCGGGCTGCCTGGTGGCCTAAAGCACATGGGCAGCTGGGTGTGGACACATGAGTCAGCCTGACCCCTTCCCTGGGGCCTGGGAAGAGGGGTGCCTTTCATCACCCAGCATGGGGACACCCCCTATCCCCATTCAGCCACACTGGGACTGCTGGACCTGGAACAAAACAGACCCTGTGGTCACAGTGGTGCTACTGGATGTGAGGACACCCCGCCAGGGATGGCCTCAGGGCCACGGTCACCCACAGGTTCCTTGCTGGGGTCTGTCATCTGTCACGGGCTTTCCAGGCTGAGGTCTCTCACTGCTGCCCCCACAAGCCTGTGGCTGAGTGCCAGGTCACCCCCAGCCTCAGGCTGCTCAGGGGCACCCGTTACCAAGGCCATTCTTCTGTTTCCCTGAGGTTCTCTGGGGTTTCCCAGAGCCCAGCAGGTGCAGTGAGCAGAGACCTGGCCAAGTACCATCCTGACCCTCAGTGCACTGGGATTCCTGGGTTGAGGTGTCAGTGCCAGCCAATGGGGATGGAGCCTTCCCTGCAAGGAAGCTCACTGGCAGACAGGTGAGAGACATGTGCATGAGAGAGCTGGGGGGCAGGGCCAGCAGATGAACCCCAATGCGACCCTCCCAGTCCCAGCCTCCTCAAGCGGCAGGTGTGTCCCTGCCCTACTCGCCCCCATCTGTGTGCGGTATTACTGGCACACGGGAACACAGTGATGTTCCCACAGCTGTTGCCTGCTGTATGTCTGCCCTCAGGAGTGCATCGCTTCCCGAGAGCCCTGGACCAGCACAGCTCACTGACCCAGTGACCTCTACCAGGTCCAGCAGGGAGGCAGCCAGAGGCTAGGGTGTGGGTCAAGGTCCCGGACAGCCGAGTCCAGACCCAGCACCAGAAAGGCCAGCTCCACAGCCAGGTGAGTGCCAGCCCACCAAACACCTGCAGCCCCCGTGAAGTTTCTGGGGTACAGAAGGGCCTCTCTTCTGCCTGAGCCCAGGAACTGCCTATTGGAGCGAACAGCTAGCTCCTTCCTCCGGCTCACCACATGCCAGCAGGTTAATGCATGAGGTCATGCCTGTCAGAACCAGCTGGATAGCTCAAGCCCCATGCTGATGGAGCCCAGAACAGGAAAGAGCATAGCATAGTTCCACCCCCAGGTACGCGTGGGACAGTGAGCAGCCTCACCCTGCCCCAGCTCTTGTTGTCCTGAACTGAGAGAGGTGGCCCAGGGTTGATTCTGAGGGAGGAGCAGGCCAGTGGTTCTGAGGGAGGAGGCCCAACTGGTTCTGACAGAGACCTAGGGTTGGTTCTAAATGAGGCCCAGGTGGTTCTGACGGAAACACAGGTTTGGTTCTGAGAGAGGAGGCCCAGGGTTGGGTCTGAGGGAGGAGGCCCAGCAGAGTAGAGCTGGACTGTTGACCAGGCATATTTGGGCAGGAGCCAACATTCATTGGCAGAATGTGGGCCTGTTCTCAGATTCGCCATCTGTAGCTGAGAGCTGGATGGAGGTCATGTGTTGTGTTGGGGATGGGGTGACATCTAGCGCAGATAGGATCTGGGCATCTCAAAAGTACTCTGCCGCCCACCTCCAGGATGGCCCAGGCTGCTTCCACACTGGAGTTACTAGGAAGAGGCAGAGTGGCCACTCGGGTAATTTTCCTGTGGCCTCCAGCCTGTCCAAGGACCTAGGGACCTGGTGACTTGAGAGCCTGCACCCCCTTACAGGTCATGGGTGATGTGGCTGGCTAGTCAAGGGTGTGCCTGATCTGTTCCTGACACTGCCTTCCTGAGCCTCAGTTCTGTCTGTAAAGTGGGACTACTCCTGTGAGTGGCAGGGGCCATGGACACAAGGCTCCTTCCTCCTGGCCCCTCAGAGAGCCAGGCTGTCCTCCCTTCCCCGACCACACGCAGGTCCTCCAGAGGCAACCCATGGAAAATGGGAGCACAAAGAGCCTGGCTCCTTCATGCTCTCACACAAACATACACCATGCCTCAGCTCCTAGGGCAAGCCAGACCTGGGAGGAGACCTGGACCTGTCTGACACATGCTCAGCATCTAATGACCTTGAGCAGTGATTGGTACCTTGATCAGTGACCTTGATCAGTGATTGGTGACCCTGAGCAGTGACCTTGATCAGTGGTGACCCTGAGCGGTGATTGCTGACCTTAACGATCCATGACCTTGAGCAGGGTGTGACCACCTTGAGTAGGGCTTGGTGAGGAAACCTGGCCCCTCACAGGTTAACCTGTAAAGGGCGGTGTTCTTGCCCTACCATGACAGGCACCCAACCAACATAGCGGACCTGGATTCTACCGGCCTGATGTTCTCGTCTGTGAAATCTTGTCAGCTGCTGAGGGGGCCTGGCAGCCAGCCTGGTGCCTGTTACCCATGGCAACAGCTGTTTGGGATAAACTGTGTCCAGGGCCTCCAGGCAGGATTTGCCTTCTTGTCCTCACAGCTGTTGGCGCCTCTCTGCTCCTGGCCCCATGCCCCTCCCTGCTCCCATCCACTGTCCCCCCAGTCCCACCCAGGAGACACCCACAGCCACTGCCCCTCCCACACACAGGCGTTCTTCCAGTGTGGAGGGTGAGGCTGGGAAGATGGCTGTGATGAGAAGGCCAAAGTGGCTGATTCTGGAGGCAGGAGGGGCCTCAGCCAAGCTGTGGGAAGCAGCTCCTGGGCTCTGGGACCTCCTCCCTGCCCTCCTGCCTGGCTGACTCTGTGGGACACCAGCCACATTGGCTCCCTGCCTCCAGGGTGTGATTTCCCTTTGCTACTGTGAGGGCTGCGACACGGACCCACCAGCCCCTCTGAGCCCCTCTGCGCCCCTCTGAGCCCCACAGCACACAGTGCCCAGAACAAGGATTCATCTCCATTTCGGGGGCAGGGGATGAAGGCTATCTTGGGGCTGGCTCCTTCTAGGATCTCTGGGGGGTAGAACCAGTTGCTTCCTTCCTTTCAGACCTGCTTGCCCCTCCTAGGGCCCTCAGCAGGCAGATGTTCTGTCCCCACTGCCAACCTCCTCCTATCAGTCCAGGACCCTTCATGTTGTCCCCTGCAAGTGGCAGGTCAGGGACCTGTGACCACAGGACTCGCTGGGGGTTGAGGCTTGAGCAACACTCCTGGGCCCATCCCCTCCTCCCATAAAGCCCCAGATGTGGCCAGCATCTGGGCAGTGAGTGGACAGGCTCATACTGTTTCTTGCTCTCACTCTTGCTTTGTCTTGTTCTTTCAAATTCTTATTACAAAGCCAGAGTGGTTGCACGGACCCACTGTGAGTCCCATTCATACTGCTGGTCAGTGTACCTGGGACCAGCAGGCGGTGCTGCTAGTGGCAGTGTGGGGTGCTCTCTGTTCAGGTTCTTGAGGGACAGGGATCAGACCTCCGTCCAGCCCCCAGGGACACACAAATCTTCAGCGAGAGAGTCCTGGTCCTCCTTCTGCGACACCTCACCCTGGGCTGGGCACCCATGGAACAAGACTCTGGGCCCAAGTCTAGAGGAGCTAGAGTCCACTGGGGCAGGGGTGCTGGTGGATGGACACGTGGGGGTACAAGGCCCAGGCCACCAGGACAGGGAGCCACGGGGTGGAGGCAGCCGAGGTCCCCAGGGAATGAGAGTTTAGAGCCAGCCCCCGGGATCACACAGCCTCTCACTGCTGCCTCTGGAGACAATTTTCCCATTTGGAAACGGGCTTCAGCAGTTCTCTGCACCTTGGGGCCTTGTTCCTCAGGGTGTCCAGCCCATGTCCATGCAGATTCCCCACCCACTGTCCCCTCTTGTCAGCACCTGCACAGCTGTGACCTAGCCCCTCAGACACTAGTGCTGTTTGGGATCCAGTCACAGGCCCTGAGGACTGGGCTGTCAGAACCATGCAGGCCAAGACACGTAGCAATCATACATCAGCCCTCCTTGTGAAACCCGCCCTTGTCATGTCTGCCCTAGGCATCGCCTCAGCAGGGTATACTCACACACATGCACCACATGTTATACATATGAACACCGCAATCCCTACACATGGCTGCCTGTAAAGTGCATACCACATGCTATGCACTTGAACACATAAACCCACATGCATCAGTATGTGTGTACCACAACATGCATGTGTGTTAATATGTGCTCACACAGCCACAAACATACAATATCTGCAACACCCACCATTTGTATACATGTGTGCATGCCCACACATGCACACCTTTCCAAGGATGACCCCCACCCTGTCCTGCAGGGCAGGGCCTCAGTCAGAGCCCTCTTCTGGAGCCCAGGTTGTGGGAGGAGCAAACATAAGCAGGGACTGGCCTTGCCGTTGGGCACACAGAAGGTTGACCCTGGAGCCCCAGTGGCGTGGCCTAGTGGCTAAATTCCTCGCCTTGAATGCGCCAGGATCCCATATGGGCGCCGGTTCTAATCCCAGCAGCTCCACTTCCCATCCAGCTCCCTGCTTGTGGCCTGGGAAAGCAGTTGAGGACAGCCCAAAGCCTTGGGACCCTGCATCTGAGTGGGAGACCCGGAAAGAAGTTCCTGGCTCCTGGCTTCGGATTGGCACAGCACCGGCCCGTTGCAGTCACTTGGGGAGTGAATCATTGGACGGAAGATCATCCTCTCTATCTCTCCTCTTCTCTGTATATCTGACTTTGTAATAAAAATAAAATAAATCTTAAAAAAAAAAAAAAAACAGAAGGTCGACCCTGGGGTGCCTGGTACCTGGGCTGGGGAGGCACCCCAGGGCCACACGCAGGCAACACTGGTGTGGCCGGGCCTCTGGGTAGAGCTGTGGGCAGGCCCAGGACCTGCGGGGCTGTCCGAGGAAAGGGCAGTGGCACTGTGGTGCAGGAGGTGCCCCCGGCCGGCGCGAGGTCGTCCCGTGAGTGAGGCCCAGGCTGCGCTTACACCCAACCCATCTTTTAATTGAGAAGCGCTGAGGGGCAACAGGACCGCAGGAAGCTCCTCTTGCTCCAAGTCGGCCTAGGGCGCCTGAGAGAAACAGAGGTTGGGCAACCGACCGCGCCGCGCCACCAGGGGGCGCTGCAGGCGTTTCCCACCATCCGGCAGGCAGAGGCTAAGGCCTGGCCAGTGGCCACTGCTTCCTGTGTTCCCTCGGCCCCTCGCCCCAGACAGCAGGGACCAAGCCGCATCTGGTGCTTCTGACCTCTGACCCAGGGGGCCTCGGAAGTGCTCCTTGGTACCTGCCGGCATGTATGGCCACTGCATACATGCACACGTGTGTGTTCAGCTGAGCAGTGAACCAGAATGTACCACAAGACAATGGGTCTGCGTGTGCCTAGTCCCCTTCTCTCCCAGCGCGTACCTCCAACAGGCCACTAGGCGCTGTCCTTGGCCTTCTTCTTGATGGTGTACGGGATGCAGCACACCCAGCTCGTCCTTGTCCTGAAGGTCAGAGAAAGGGTAGGCGGGTGACAAGGGCCCCCAGGGCAGCTGCTGCCACTTGTCTGCCCTGCCTGCCTACCGCCAGCCACCCCAGCTTCCTGGACACCCGGGCCGGGAGTGACCCCACTGCTGGCCCTGAGTGTGGCTCCAGGCATTGGCTGGGAACCAGGACAGTCAAATCCCTTCCTTCTTCCTCTCCTCTCCCCCAACTCCTGTCCAGCAGTTCCAGGGTAGGGGTGGCATTGTGGGGCCTTCTGAGTGTGTGCTCAGGTCCCACCTACAGGGAGGAAGGCACGAAATGGCCAGCACAGCCACAAGTACCACTCACTCATCCTCAAACAGGTCGGGGTCCATCGGGGACTGCTTCTCCTCCTGGGGGGTGCAGGCAGTCACCTGGGGGCACGGCCACAGTGTGTCAGGGACTGGGTGCCAGGTTCCCTGCAGAGCCCAACAGGCACGGAAATGACCACAGGCCAGGAGGTGCCTCCAGCAGATGGTCCTGCTGAGCAGACACTGCCCAAGGGAGCCCCATTGCCCTGTGCCGCTGAGGAAGGGGTCTTGTTCCTGGCCTCTGATAGCCACTGGGGAGTCCCTCAGAATCCTTGGAGACTGTGAGCTCATGAATAACCTTGAGGGTGGCAGTGGCCAGCTCCTTTCATCTTGTAGGCTGCTCTGAGGGCATAAGGGGATGCCAGCAAGACCTGGAAAATGGCCATCTCTGGCAAAACTGAAATCTGCAGAATTTGCCCTAGCTGGCTGCACTACTGGTACAATGCAAGATGTGTCTGACCCATGTGCCGGGGTCCAGAGCTCTGGGTCAGCCACTTGTTCTAGACACTGGCAATGACGGCCATGGGCTGTTGATGGTGATGGTGGTATTGATGACGATGGTGATAGTAATGATGTGATGGTGGTGATGATGGTGATGATGGTTATGGTGATGATGGTGATGGTGGTGATGATGGTGGTGATGGTGATGATGGTGATGATGGTGATGGTGGAGGTAGTGATGATGGTAGTGGTGGTGATGATGGTGGTGATGATAGTGGTGGTAGTGATGGTGGTGGTGATGGTGGTGATGATGGTGATGGTGGTGATGGTGGTGATGGTGGTGGTAGTGATGATGGTGATGGTGGTGATGATGGTGGTGATGGTGAGGCCCGGGGTGGTGACATTGATGGTGAAATCCTAACAGTTGTAATGGTGGTGGCCATGTTGATGAAGCCTAGTATCGGGGCTTTCTTGGTTTGGGGTTCTGTTCTGAGAGCCTCTGAAACACTCATTCCAGAGAAGACAGCAGAGGCTCAGGGGTGTGATGAGTGTTTTGAGCATTTATCAGTAGTTGTGCACCTCTGAGATCTTGGGTCAGCACCATTTCCACCAGGCTAGAGGATCCCAGAGATGCTGAGGGCTGGCTGGGGCCCTAGAAGCTCTGGCAATGCTGGAGTGTGTGCTGATTGGGGGGTGGGTGTGGAGGAACTGGGCCCTTTCCTGAGCTCCTGCCCTGCCCACCCACTCATGCTGTTACAGGGAGCCCAGCCTGGCAGTGCCATCCAGTGGCTGAGTCGGTCCTCATGGCATTACCTCCTCAGTGTGATCTCCCAGATCAATCTCCACAAACACAGACGGCTTCTGTGGATGGAACCAGAGACAGGGGTGACCTCGGGGTGTCCAGGAGGGGAGCCAGTATCGGGGATCTGGAATGCCCTGTACCATTGGGGCTTCTGGTGCTGGCAGGAGAGCAACAGGAGAGGGTATTGCCTTCCTGTGCTTCCCCACCCACCTCCCATCCAGCCTCCTTCACCTTCGCCCTCTAGTGACTGGGAAATGCCGAGGATTGGGCAACCCTGGCCTCTGCCTTGGTGAACTGCAGGGGGGCCCCACTTATGGCACCTTGACTGGACAGACTGGAGCAGGTGTCCATGTTACTGGGGTATGTGAAGGAGAGGCATGTATAGGACACAGCAGCACAGGCCTGGGAGCCAAAACAGCCCCAACCGCCCACAGGCAGGTGGAATTGGTCATGATGAGTTTTCCATCTCATCACATCAGACACCTGTGTGGGCTCCATGGCCATCAGGCTCCATGTCTGCCCAGCTCCTCCTGGGCACAGTCCAGGGGAGTTGGGCAGGGATAGCTGTGACCCGAGGCTTTCAGCACCCCATGCTTCCAACAAAGGCACTTCGGGAAACCACAATGAGGACGTCCCTGAAACCAAATGGAGATACAGCCTGGTCTCATCCTAGGGAGGGAGGGGACCCAGAGACAGGCAGCCTGGGGAGGACTGGACCCAGGGACAGGCAGCCTGGGGAGGATGGGACCCAGGGACAAGGCAGCCTGGCCCCAGCCTGGGAAGGACGGAGCTGGGTCCAGTGCCTGGCTCAGCGTCTGCTGAGCAGAACCCTTGACCCCACTTGTCTCTGTGGTTGCTTGGGAGTGCTGGCCTCTCTCTCCAGGTTGCTCAGCCCTGTGGACGCCGGGCCCTGCTCCTGCAGAGGGGCAGCAGGCAGGTTAGCAGGGCTGGGCTGAGGCCCCAGGAGGCTGGTGGGGCTAAGTCAGGCACCTGGGCCTCCGGGATGCTCTCCATGGGCTCTGCCTCCTGCTCCTCCTCGTTGGCGCTGGCTTCAGAGTTGCTGCATTCTGGCTCAGGGTCTCTGCATCCACTCTCACGGCCCAGGCTCCTTGGGGTGTCCTGACCCCTCAGCCTCTTGTCTTCCTCCAGGTTTGCTTGGCTGTGGCAGGGATTGAGGGAGTGGCTTGGGACAGGCACGGCCAGTGTGGGTTCCCTTCTGGGGCAGCACCCTTTGGCTGAGGGACTTGGTTGGGTACTACAGGAATGGTGGGGCGCCTGTTGGTCAGGCCTGGCCTGCCTTGATGTTTCCCTGGGTGGCTGAATGTGGCAGGGGGATGCTTCTTATATCCGAGGTGACCACCCATGCCTACCTTAGGGTATCCAGTGATAGGAGGCAGGAGGGTGTGGGGGGAGGTTGGTCAGTAGAGTGGACATGGCAGGGCTGTGGGGGTCCTGGGGAACAGAGTGGACACGGCAGGGCTATAGAGGACATCATGTCTGGGCCATGTCCTGAAGGCAGCCTTGGACATTAGCTGAGCCCTGCAGGCCACAGCCTGGGGACACGGAGGCTGGGTGGGCTGACCAGGGCTACCTGGAGCAGAGGCTAGGGCAACACAGAATGGCCTGCAAAGGCTTCCTTCCTCTCAGGCTGGCCACCAGCCACTCACCAGTCCACATCCTCGGCGTGACTCTGCTGCTCCTTCTCTTGCTCTTCAGACTCTGGGGGAGGAGGACGAGGCTAGTCGGTGCTGCCACCTCCCAGAGTGGCCCATAACCCAGCTGAGGCCTGACTGAGTGCCCTTGCCCCGCAGTCAAGCTAAACAGAGCCAGAGTCAGAGTGGTCTAGGGAGGTCTCGGGACCCTTGGAGGATGCAGTGGAGCAGGTTGGCAAGGAGGGGTAGGACTCCTCCTATGTCTCCACAGTGGTCCTCAGGCCACGTGTCCCTTTCACAGAATGGGGACCAGGCCCTGCACATGGCTGTACCTCATCCTTTGAGCATGGGCCAGACCCCCAGGCCCAGTCCCCTACAAGTGGCCACTGCACAGAGATGCCTCCCAGAGGGGCTAATGGGGTGGAAACCCCACATCCCTAGACACAGTTCTGGTGTTCCTGCCTTGTGGGCTTCACTTCCACCCGGAGGGCCCTCACAGCGTCCCCTGGGCCTACCCAGGTCCTTGGCCACCTTCCTGACATGGCCTGGGGGGTCCCCTTTCTGGTGCAGGCCACCCTCACTTCTGCTCCTCTGCAGCTCGGGGAACTCGCTGGCCATCCTGCCACCCAAGAGGAGGGTGCCGGTGCCAGGCCGGTGCCTCCTGTGTGCCGTGGCCAGGTCCTTTTCCATGCTGGGCTGGGAAAGAGTGCCTCACACAGCCTCAGGCATGGGACATGGCTGTGCCAAGGCTGTCGCCCTGGGGCTGCTGTGACATCACAGGTCAGAGGTTAGTGGGCCCAGCCCAACTCAGCCTCCTTCCTCCCAAGTCCAGCGCCATGGTTACCAGCTTTGATGGTGGCTGTGTGTCAGGAGGCAACATTCTCTACCTGGGGTCAGCACTGGGATCTCGGGGAAGCCATGGGACCCGCTGCCTGGGTCCTACCCCAGATCCTCCTACCTCAGACCCTACCTCCTGTTGCAGCCCTTTGGAGCCTCTTAGGGCCAGCAGGAGTCAGTTCTGGGTGGGCCCAGCCTAGATGGCCCCAAGATCCCCCCCTGGACATCCATCCCTCTCTGGCCTGCCAGCCTCATGAGCAGAGGCCACTCAGGCACAGCAGTTTCCTGCCCAGTGGTGTTCCCCCTGGAGCTGCCTACAGTGCCTCACAGTCCCAGGTTTCTGCCAGGGCCCCTCCACTCGCTCCTGTCAGGAAACCTGGAGTGACCAAGTTCCCTGCACCCGGGGAGGCCCTGTGCCTGGCCATGCTGCTAGGTGGCAGCCCCTGAAGCACGGTCCTGAGGGCAGATGGGCTAGATACTGCCTGTCACAGAGGCACGTCCGCAGCCGTCCTCCTCCCAGAGCTGAACACCACCAAGAGACCCCCTGGAATCCAGCCAATTCTGGGAAAGAATAAAATGCAGGCTTTAATTGCATCACAAGTCATTAGTATATTATAAACAGAAGTGTTAAATACAAATCCAGGTTAAAAATTACAGTCCTGTCACAGCTGTGAGTCCCAAAGTCACCTTTTTACAGTATTTTCCTGCTGTGTCATGTTTTGCTGGTGGCATCATAGGAGGGGCCTTGGGCTGGGGGTCTGTGGTCCCTGGGGAAAGTGGCCCAGGCCCTGCCTGCTTCACTGTGGGCCTCAAGCCCTCATACTACCTTTCTCCTCTGGGTCTTCCCATCAGAGGTCCCTCCCCTCAGCACAGCCTGGGTCCTGAAACCTGTCAGGATGAATAGAAACAGCCCCACACCAGTGTTGATGCATGCTCTGCTCTGAGGTCTTCTCAGCTCCCCCTCTGCCAGGTCCCATTTAACAGCAGAGTTGCGTGCACCTGGTAGGCAGGCCTGCAAAGGCTGGAACCAGGAGCTGTGCGAGGGGACCTGTTGCTTTTGTAACCCTTTCAGTAGGGTGGGGCTGGTGGAAGCTGACTCTACTGCAGGCTATTGGCAAATATCCCTGAAGGCCCAGTGTGCCCAGCCCAGATGTGGGGCTGAATAGAAGTGGTGCAGCCCCAGGTGCCCAGGGCATGGGGAAGGAAGGGTCCCTCATAGCTGGCTGTTCTAGATCACTGGGTCCCCAGGACACCGACTACCCCAAGCTCCTGACATGTGATTGGGCGCCTAACACTGGAGCTGGGCAACACACACGTTGCATGGCCTCTTCAGGGTAGCTCTGGGGAAGATCTCGGCTTCCTTGGGCAATGGCGGGCGTGAGATCCATGTCCTCGCCCCTTGTCATGGCTGTGGGGCTGTCTTGGATGCTGCACACTCTATATGGAGTGGGTGGAGCTCTCTGACTGCTGCTGGATGTAGTTCTGGAAGCTCTTGTCTCCAATGGGGTGCTCCCTGCAAAGGTATGGGCAGAATAAGGAAGGACACCTCTGAGCTGCGGTGTCCTCAGTCCAGTGCTCTGCTGCATGTAGCACAGGACTGCAGATACCCACTGCTACCCTGGCCTGACTGTGCATGTGTGTGTGGGATGAGCATTGTGCAGTGTATGAGGTGTGAACACACATGTAGAAGGTGTATGCATGTTTGGAACACAAGCACATATGTTAGGGCAAGCATGCACACACAAACATGTGTAAGCTGACCACTGCCCACTATTCCTGAAGCTAGCATACATATGTGTGGTGTGTGCTCGGGAAGACGCCATGAGTTGGAGGCACCATGGAGCCAGGGTCTCTCCCCAAGATCAAGGAGTTTGAGAACAAGGTTGGAGTGTTGCCTGGCGTTGCCTGAGAAGCACCTCTTGCTTCTCCTGTGACAACTCCTACCTGTGCTCAGCTCAGCTCTGCCCTGACCAAGCCCCGTCTCCAGTAGCCCTGCCCGACTGTGCTATTCTGTGCCCTGACCAAGCCCCCTTTACAGTAGCCCTGCCCGACTGTGCTATTCTGTGCCCTGACCAAGCCTCCTCTCCAGTAGCCCTGCCCGACTGTGCTATTCTGTGCCCTGACCAAGCCCCGTCTCCAGTAGCCCTGCCCAACTGTGCTATTCTGTGCCCTGACCAAGCCCCGTCTCCAGTAGCCCTGCCCGACTGTGCTATTCTGTGCCCTGACCAAGCCCCGTCTCCAGTAGCCCTGCCCGACTGTGCTATTCTGTGCCCTGACCAAGCCCCCTCTCCAGTAGCCCTGCCCGACTGTGCTATTCTGTGCCCTGACCAAGCCCCGTCTCCAGTAGCCCTGCCCGACTGTGCTATTCTGTGCCCTGACCAAGCCCCCTTTACAGTAGCCCTGCCCGACTGTGCTATTCTGTGCCCTGACCAAGCCCCTTTACAGTAGCCCTGCCCGACTGTGCTATTCTGTGCCCTGACCAAGCCCCCTTTACAGTAGCCCTGCCCGACTGTGCTATTCTGTGCCCTGACCAAGCCCCCTTTACAGTAGCCCTGCCCGACTGTGCTATTCTGTGCCCTGACCAAGCCCCGTCTCCAGTAGCCCTGCCCGACTGTGCTATTCTGGGCCCTGACCAAGCCCCGTCTCCAGTAGCCCTGCCCGACTGTTCTGTCCTGGGCCCTGATACTCTCCCCCAGCAGCCCTGTCCGACTATCCTATCCTATGCCCTGACCCCACACCCTCAGCAGCCCTGCCCAACTGTGCTGCCCTGAGTGGTCCACACTACACGGGGCTTCCTACGGGCTCAACATCCTTAATGAGGCTGTGTGTGTGTGTGTGTACGTATGCGTGCATGCTTGCCCATTCACACAGCCTGTCATGGGAAGCCCGGCCACCAGGATCTGCTGCAGACACGGCCCCAGCTCAGGCCCAGGGCCACCTCCTGGCACTCACTGGCTCCCGTATTTCGTCTTCTTGAACTTGTCCCTCCGATACTGCGCATGTTCTTGTTCCAGGGTTCCCACCGCGGCAATGACCTGCCTCAGGGTCTTGTAGGTCTCCTGGGGATCATCGATGACAAACGCCGAGTACTCCTCCTGCTCAGGGCCGTCGTACACAGACCGGCTGCCACAGGCCTCTGCAGGGGTGTGGGGAGAGGTTAGCCGCTGCAGCAGCCTCCGCTGAAGGCTCATGGCTCAGGCAGACACAGGTGCTGACCCTGGGCAGGGTGTGTCCTGCTGAGCTTGGCAGTAGGGGCCCCGAGCTGGCATGGCCGATAAGCTGGACACTGGGAGTTTGTCTACTTCCTGATGGCTCGCCCAGTGGGCCCAGGAAAGGACATGACCACACCTGGAGGCTGAGCCAAGACCCTGGGCGACCTCAGGGCTCAAGCTGGGAGACCGAAAATATCTCTCTGCAAAAGCCCTGAGTCCAACACACCTTCCTCGGCCAGCAGGACACTTCTGTATCTTATAGGGCTTGACAGTCTCTCCTGATCACTTTACAAAGCAGCCAGACACCAGAGCTGTCTCCACCCACCTGAACTCTGCTCACATCCAGGGGATGAAAGTCAGACCTGACCAGAGGCCCAAGCAGTCTCCTCTGCCCTGCACCTCCCCCATCCCCATATGGGAGGATCTGGCAAGCAATGGCCATGTGTGACTTGGAGGCCTTATGTATACCTCTGAAGGGTGGCACCGGGACACAAGACCAAGGACAAGAATCTGCATGTGGGAAACAGGAACCGGTGGCACTTGGGTCCAGCAGTGCAACTGACTGGGAAGAGCAAGGCACCAATAGCAGATATTCAAAAAATGCTGTTGGTGCCTGTGCAGTGGATCCTGAGGTGCGAGGCATGTGGCAGAACCACTTAGTGTCCTCTCAGTGATTCTGGGAGGGCTCAGGGAAGGACAGAGATGATGGACAAAGCAGAGGAGAGACGGGGTGAGGGACACAGCAGAAGAGAAGACAGGAGGATGGACACAGCTGAGTGGAGGACAGGAGGATGGACACAGCTGAGGGGTGACAGGGGTGATGGACATTCCTGTTGAGAGGACAGGGTGATGGGCAGATCTGAGGGAACACGGATTATTTACACAATTGATAGGAAAGAGGTGGTTGGAAGTAGCTGAGGAGAGGTCTATGAAAACTTTCAAGTTTCTGATGGCCTTGACTAGTAGCCCAGTGGCTAAAGTCCTTGCCTTGCATGTGCCAGGATCCCATGGGCACTGGTTTGTATCCCAGCTGCTCCACTTCCCTCCCAGCTCCCTGCTTGTGGCCTGGGAAAGCAGTGGAGGATGGCCCAAAGCCTTGAAACCCTGGACCCTCATGGGAAACCCAGAAGTTTCTGGCTTCATATCAGCTCAGCTCTGGCTGTTGCAGCCACTTGGGAAGTGAACCAGTGGATCTTTGTCTCTCCTCTCTGTAAATCTGACTGTTCAAGAAAAATAAGTGAAATCAATCTTGAAAAATTATATCAAGTATTTCTGCAGCAAAATAAACTTAGGTTCTTTGCCACTTTCCCACAACTTGATTTCCTGTTGTCACACAGCTCTCCCTGTTCACTGGTCACCTTCCCCAGCCTTGACATGGTATTAACGCCTGTTTTATAGACTAGAGACAGCAGCTCACCCAGCATCTTCCTGAAGCAGGAGACTGTTCAGCAGCTTCACTCCCGCTGCCACTTGAATGCCTTTCTTGTCATTCACCATGCAGCAGCCTCTGGCACAGCATTCCACTGGGCTCATGGAGAGCCGAGGAAACCCCTGCCACATGACCGTGCACATATCCTAGGCCAGGGCAAAGTGGCATCCCCAGGTCCTCAAGGCAGTCACTCCCAGGATGATATACATACATGCACACAGATCACCAGCTTCGACGTGATTGTGACAATTCTCTGTCCCAGGATGGATTGGCAGGGCTTGGGCACTGAAGGAGTGAGTGACCTAGGCCCCTGAAGGACCAGGGTGAGCAGTGAGGTTCCCAAATACGTTGCTATCACATGAATGAACCACTACTATCAAGGTAACCTCTCACTGGGAGGGAGGCTGATTGTGACACCACTTTCCATTTGTCTGTCCACCCATTTGCCCATCCTATTTGGCCATTCATCCCTGTGTTCTGTTGATCATCCACTCACTCAAGCACTAGTCATCCATCCATCCATCCATCAATCCTTCTAAGCATCCTCTTATTCATACACCATCCATCCACACATCTATCATCCATCCACCTATCATCTATCCATCTATCCATTCATCCTCCCATCCATCTATCCATCCCCGTACCCATCATCCATCCACACGTTCATCCATCCATCCATCCACCCACCCACCCACACATTTGTTCATTTATCCATTCATCCACCAATCCATCCATCCATCCATCCATCCATCCATCCATCCATTTCCCATCCATCCATCTACCTATCATCCATCCATCCATCCATCCATCCATCCATCCATCTATCCATCCCCATCATCCATCCACTTGTCTGTATGTGTAACAAACAGGTGTCAGGGATCTCTTCTGCACAGGGCATGAGCTCTGCTTTGTATGGAAGGTGAACACAGGAATACAGAACTCCAGGCTGTCTGACAGAGAGGTGAGAAAAAGCCCTCATTCAGAGAGTTTTACAGGATGAAGCAGCATTGGCTGTGCCCCAGGCACAGAGTGCACACCAGCATGGTACTGGGGTAAGCCCAGGCCATGCAGCATTGCTGGGAGGGTTACAGAGAGACCAGGAGGACTCATTCATGAGCCTTGGCTGTGCCAGGTAGCCATTTCTGTCTCCTGAAGGCTCCTCGCCCACCTCCCCCTGGTTGCTGGTGCAGGTTCACAGAGCAATTCAATATCAAGGACAACCAGGAGCCACAGAAAGCTGAGCTACACTTTGCCAAACATGACTGTGACACATGCATACACATGGATGCATATCCCTCTGCACATGTGCCCACACACCGCTTTGCACATGTGTCAACACGCATGTACATCCCTTTGTACACTTGTCCACACACATTGCTCTACGCACATGCCCCCCACACCGGTCTGCACACATGTCCATACACATGCATACTCCTTTGTACATGTGTCCACAAATACCAGTCTGCACACGTGTCCACATATGTGCACAAACAACCCTCTGCACATGTTTCCACATATAGGGACACAATCACACATTGCTGTGCACACGTGTCCACACACACACATCAGTTTGCACACATGTCCACATATACACATAGCTCTGGAAACTGGAATTGACGAAGCTATATTCACAAACAAGGTCTTGTGGTTCCACAATGTAGACAAACCCACCCAGCAGCCACCTGGAGAGTGGATCAGTCCCCTTCTCCCAACAGCAGTTTCCCATGCTGCATGTGTTGCCCACCAACACAGAGGCTTGGCAGGGGACTATGTCTCTGTAGGACAGTGGGGTCCCAGACTCAGGTCTCCTCAGGTCCCTGTATTTCCCATGTGCCTACAGCCGCACTCACCTTGCATCTTCTCCAGCCTGCCCAGGTAGCAGCTGAAGAGGGAGTAGATGCGTTCTGTCTCGCGGTCTCCATCAATGTCCAGCTGGATATTGGCTGGGAGGCCCCTGTTCGTACACGGAGAGGACACAAAGAATGACAATTTACTTCTGAGCAACTCAAATGCTCGTCATATTATTTTTTTTTTCAAATTACCCAAGAGCAAAGATTCAGAGACAAACATGAACATAGTCCCTAGCAGGCTTCAGTGACGAGGAGGCCAACGGCCACGTCTGGCCACACGGTTGGTGTGGACAGCTCAACAGCACTTGGAAAGGACTAGTTGGCCACTTGCAATACCAGCACCCATGTCGGAGCACTGGTTTGAACCCTAGATGCCTCACTTCTGACCCAGCTTCCAGCTATATGCCCAGGAAAGCAGCAGAAGGTGGGAGCAGTCCTTGAACCTCTGTATCCACTGGGGAAAGAACAAAGTTCCAAGCTCCCGGCTTCAGTCTGGCCTACACCTGACTGCTGCTGCCATTTTTATTGGAAAGTCAGATCTATAGAGAGGAGGACAGAGAAGGATCCTCCAGCCACTGGTTCGCTCCCCAAGTGACCACAATGCCTGGAGCTGAGCTGACCCAAAGCCAGGTGCCAGGAACTTCTTTTAGGTCTCCCACAAAGGTGCAGGATTTCAAGTCTTTGGGCCATCCTCTACTGACTTCCCAGGCCACAAGCAGGGAGCTGGATGGGAAATGGAGCAGCTGGGACACAAACCAGCGCCCATATGGGATCCTGGTGCATACAAGGCAAAGATTCAGCGACTAGGCCATTGTGCCGGGCCCTTCTCTCTGCCTTTTAAATAAATAAATCTTAGAGACCTGCCTAGCCTTGGTGACTGGAGTCTCTTGGGACTTGCATATGCACCAGCCAACCCCAAAGTCAAGTGACACAGTGGCCTGGAATACACCTCTCTGGCAGGCAGCCCCTGACGGCTTAGCTGTCCCAGCCAAGAGGTACTGCAGGGTCTCCTGTGCCTGCCCTGAAGCTGACAGCAGAGAGACCCCTCCCCAAAAGCTAGGCACCCTGGCCACATGAAGCCTCCTGGAGAGCATGACAGGCGGCTCCTCCCAGGACATTCCTCTCCTCATTCTCAGCATCTGCAGTGTGACATGGGGTACAAAGTCCCTTCTCCCAGAGGGAGCCCAGTGGTGCCTGCAGGAGTCAGGAGTGAGGGGCTTGAGCTCGCCATCAGGAGCACAAGGAACAGGCCTATGAGCTAGCAGGCTAATCTGCTCAGTGCAGGGCCCAGGGTTGCCATCAGGCAGCATGGGGCTCTCCTAGGGAGCAGGGTAAGGTTCTCCTAACAGGAACTGAACCCCTGGCCCCTGCCTGCAGCCCCGCCTCCGCAGTGAGCCCCTCTGCCTCCCCCATAGTGCCCCACTGCTGGCAGGGACTAGGAGGAGCATGGAAGCTTGGTGCGTGTGCATATGAGGTGTGGACTGCCTCAGCCTCCCCTCTGGCATGTCTGAGTGCCCGTATGAAGGCAGCCCACCCACCCGGTGCAAGGGGAGCAGCCGGGCGCAGTGTCCGAGGTGGCCCGGCAGCACAGCCAGTGTCCGTTGAGGTGGGCCGAAGGATGGTAGAAAGTAAGGCGCCGCTGGTTGCACTGGCTCACTTTGGTGAGCACGTCGATCCAGTCCCGGGCCTCCACGCAGTTGTTGGCCTGGATGTAAAGGGCACGCTCCGGCTGGACCACCTGGAACATCTGTGTGCACAGCAGGCTGAGGGGCCGTGCCTGGCACACAGCCCTCCTGGGGACGTGGGCACTACCCCCTGTGACTCTCTTCCTCACAAGTCTTGCCAGGGCCCACGCTGCAGTGTTTGTTATTCAACTGACAAACACTCCTAGGTGTCAGATGCTGTCTTGTACCCTAGGGGACACCACGAGGCCAGACTCTGCTCCCTGGATGGCCAGACAGGGGCTGTGTCTGGGATTTGGGGAGACAATGTCAGCAATGGACAGAGAGCCCAGCTGCACTCAGAAGGTGGAAATAAGTGCAGGATGGGTGCCCTGTCAGAGCAAGGGGAACAGCAGGTGCATGTATCAAAGTGGCAGGAAGAGTGGACACCTGATCCAGGCTGACCATGAATAGGGTGAGGGGACAGGATCTGGGAAGGGGGGAGGGAATGCATTGTTATTCCCAACACACAGGGGGCTCATGGGGAAGCCTCGTCCTCTTCCCCACCATAACCCCTCCTGTGGCCAGCAAGTATGGACTTCCTTTCCACCAGAGTCAGCCTTGGGCTGAGGTTTGAGTGCAAAATCCCTGGGACCAGGGTGGACACGAGTGGCCTGGAGAGGGGAACAGGGCAGAACAGGAGGAGCCACTGGTACTCAAGGGCGACACTCACATTCTTCATTTTGAAGGACTCCTCCTCTAGCTTCTCCACAGCCAGGATGTTCTCAATGGGGATGCTGTACAGTGGCTGGTCCCCTATGGCAGACGGGGCGTGGGCAGTTGAGCTTGGCCTTGGACAAGGGGCCCTCACTGTCCAGGAATGAGGGGGTCCTCACTCTCCGGGGACAAGGAGCCCTCACTGTCCAGGGACAAGGCACCCTCACTGTCCAGGAATAAGGGGTCCTCACTGTCCAGGGACAAGGGACTCTCACTGTCCAGGAATGAGGGGCCCTCACTCTCCAGGGACAAGGAGCCCTCACTGTCCATGGACAAGGAGCCCTTACTGTCCATGGACAAGACACCCTAACTGTCCAGGAATGAGGGGCCCTCATAGTCCAGGAATGAAGGGTCCTTACTCTCTGGGGATGAGGGGATCTTACCATTTGGGGACAAAGCGCCCTCACTGTCCCTCCCCCATGCAATCTCCTCCAGACCCTTGCATGGCCGCCTGTGTCGTCACCTCTGCACTTTCTGTATGTGAACTCGTGGTTGGTCAGGCAGAACCACCTCTTCTTGAAGTTCTTCATCCCAAAGCGCTTCCTCCCTTGCGCCCTCTTGATCATGAACCTGCGCAAGGGTGTGCAGTCAGCAGGTGTCTGGCCACAACTCAGGGTCAGGACAGTGCCTGTGCCTGAAACCAGCATCACTGTGTCCTCAAGGAGAGTGGAGAGCTCTCCTCTGCTGGGCCAGCTCGTATGATCAGCGGTGATGACCATGGGCAGGGACAGCAGCTGGTTGGCACCTCAGCAAGGCCTGGGCCTCTGACTTCCCACATCAACTCCCAAGAGCAGGGCGCAGACCCCAGCACTGGATGGCCAAAAGGCACCTGTGGAACCACACAGCCAAGGCAGCATATTCTAGAAAGCCTCAGTGGATGGGTGCTGGAGGACTTGCCTGACCCACTGGACAGTCTTGCTCATGTCACACATTCACAGATTTTCTCTGAGAGGTGAGAACACTGGATGCCAAGGCCTGGGAGCTGTACAGGAAGCCTCAGCCCTTCCATAATGGGTGGGTCAGTGCAGAATTCAGACACGTGTGGCACTGGGTGGTGGAAAGATGCCACATTGGCCTCAGGGCCATGGAGTTGAGGCCACCACAGGCCCAGCAGGGTGTAGCAGACATGCAGGTAAGGCCTTGGGTGCAGGGGAGACTGGGTCAGACATGTCGAAGTCTCCCCATGGGGACTCAGCCACCTCACTGCTCTCCTGCAGTCTACAGAGAATGGTGTGGATGTCCAGGCATCCTGTCACAAAGTCTCCAAGGCCCATGGCCCAGGATAGGCCCCACAGGTCAGACGAGGGCCGAAGGGCACAACCATGATAGCCGAATGCTTACCCTTCCTTCAGCAGGATCGGCTGCTCAACGCTCTTTGGATCTCTTCTCCCCGATGAGGAGATCAAATCTAGGAACTGAGGGGGCAGAAATGGGAGCTCTGGGGGAGAAGCAGACATGCCCAGCACTGGTTCTCATGGTGGCCCAGGGACAAGAGGTCTGTGCATTGACCTGCACTGATTCAGGTGTGCCTGGGGCACGTGTGAGGGCAGGGTGTGTTGGGGGTTTCTGTGTGTGCAGAGGGGTTACAGCGGTAGCAGCTTGCTGGAGGAGGGAGAAGCTCCCTGCTGGGTCCCCACAAGGTGTGTCCCTGGCCGAGGGCCACAACAGTGCCGTGCGGCAGCACCCATACACTTACATTCTTCACGGCATCCCCATATTTCTGCTCATTGAAGAACTCATAGAATGAGGCCATGTAGGACTCCTTGAAGCTGGCCTAAAGGGAGAGCACTTGCCTGGGAGAGCAGACTAGACACAGGCCCAGCGCCACCTCCCACAGCCCCGTATTCCCATTTCTGGCAGCTCCAGGGACCTTGGGAGCCAATGGCCCATAACATTGCAGTCGGCTAGACTCGGGGCCTCAGATCACAGGCCTCCCTGAATGGCTCTGGGCAGTCCATGGCCTGGAGCCCACCACCCATCCCTGTAGATGCCAGATTCTGGCCTGAGCAGACCCCCTCACAGCACCCCGCCCCTGGGCAACAGCTAGTTCCGGACAACAAGAGGAACGCCTAGATGGCGAGAGGCTGAGTCAAGGTAAGGCTGGCCTGGGGCAGGTACAGCAGAGGAGGCACCCACAGGAGTAGCCATGGGGCAGTGGGCAGGACCAGGCAGTCCCTGACCAAAGCCCACTTGAATCTCAATCCCCTGCAGAGCAGAGACCCCATGTGCTGGATGTGACTCACAGACTTGGACTTGGACAAGCTACCCAGCGTCTGGATGGTCTTGGAAATGAGCGTCAGGGTTCGGGACGTCTGAGGGTCCTGGGAAGGGGAGAGCAGTGTGACTGACCCTGCCACATGGCGTCCAGGGGTAGGGCTTCAGGTCGGCCCCCAGGCTCAGGAGGATGTGTGAGCACTTGGGCACAGGGCTACAGGAGCCCACACTGAGGATCTGGGCAGTGCCCAGCTCAAGGCTGCCATCTCCCCCAGCTCTTGGCTGGAAGGTTGATGCTGACACAAGGAAATCAAATAGCAGCCTTTCCAGGAAAGACCCCAGCTGAGCAGAGGTGTGGGCACACAGCAGGTGCTGTCCTGGCTGACAGACAAGTGATGGCGAGCACACACCTGGCTCCAGCAGCTGGGACCCCGCCCTGACACTTCCTCCCATGTTCAGGCCTGTGGGCAGGGCCTGAAGGGACCCCACCCACACTCCCAGCAGCCATGGCCAGGGTAGGGTGTTCACTGGGCCTGGCCCGGCCTAGCTGACTTACCGTGTGGTGCGGTGTCAGGTGGAAGAGGTTGGGGGAGAGGATGGCAGGTGCAAAGAACCTTAGGAAGATGAATCCACTCACGGCCGTGTATCGCACATCAGGGTCGTCTGTGGACAGAGACGGGTGTCCAGAGGCCTTGGGAAAGGGCAGCCTTGGCTCTGCTAAGTCACTTGTTTGATGGCAGAGCGATGCCCCACATGCCCACAACAGCGGGCACTGGGCTGGGATGGCCAGGAATCAGCTCTGCCCAGGTCTCCCAGTGGACGATGAGACCCAAGGACAAAACCATCACTCTTGATGCCTAGGGGGCACTGCAGGATGGGAACAGAGGCAGGGCCAGGACCAGGACCCAGCCTGCACTCTGATGGGGAAGGTACATGAAGGAGTCTTATCCATCCCCAGTTCCTCCGTGGCCCTGGCTGGGTGGACATGGCTGTCCCTCCCTCCTGTATGTGGTCACCACTCCCAGTGCTCATGGTTGTCACTCTCTCATAGTCACAGCTGTCACTCCCTTGTGTACACAGCTGTCCTCCCTCCTGTACACGGCTGTCCTCCTTCGTGTACACAGCCGTCCTCCCTCCTGTACACGGCTGTCCTTCCTCCTGTACACGGCTGTCCTCCCTCCTGTACATGGCTGTCCTTCCTCCTGTACACAGCTGTCCTCCTTCATGTACATGGCTGTCCTCCCTCCTGTACACGGCTGTCCTCCTTCGTGTACATGGCTGTCCTCTCTCCTGTACACGGCTGTCCTCCTTCATGTACACGGCTGTCCTCCCTCCTGTACATGGCTGTCCTCTCTCCTGTACACGGCTGTCCTCCTTTGTGTACATGGCTGTCCTCTCTCCTGTACACGGCTGTCCTCCCTCTTGTACACGGCTGTCCTCCTTCGTGTACACGGCTGTCCTCCCTCCTGTACATGGCTGTCCTCCCTCCTGTACACGGCTGTCCTCCCTCCTGTACACAGCTGTCCTCCTTCATGTACATGGCTGTCCTCCCTCCTGTACACGGCTGTCCTCCCTCCTGTACACGGCTGTCCTCCCTCCTGTACACGGCTGTCCTCCCTCCTGTACACGGCTGTCCTCCTTCATGTACATGGCTGTCTTCCTTCATGTACACAGCTGTCCTCTTTCATGTACATGGCTGTCCTCCCTCCTGTACACGGCTGTCCTCCTTCATGTACACGGCTGTCCTCCCTCCTGTACATGGCTGTCCTCCCTCTTGTACACGGCTGTCCTCCCTCCTGTACACAGCTGTCCTCCCTCCTGTACATGGCTGTCCTCCCTCCTGTACACAGCTGTCCTCCTTCATGTGCATGGCTGTCCTCCCTCCTGTACACGGCTGTCCTCCCTCCTGTACACGGCTGTCCTCCCTCCTGTACACGGCTGTCCTCCTTCGTGTACACGGTTGTCCTCCCTCGTGTACATGGCTGCTACTTTCTCATAGTCATAGCTGTCACTCACACATATATGTGCCTGCCACTTCCTTGTGGCCATGGTTGTCACTCATTCTTCCTTGGACCTCACCTTGGAAGCGTTTGGCAGCTGCCTCACGCAAGCAGAAGAAGATATCACACATGACAGTTGGACAGCTGACCCCAGAGGTGGTAATGGCAGTAAAGACACGGTCCACGTGCTGGCGCAAGGTCTCCTGGGAGTGAAACATGGCATCCAGCATGACTGAGGCTGCCCACAAGGCCACAGGCAGCAGGGGCAGTGGGCACAGTGCTGTTCCTCGGCTGAGTGGGGGCCCTGGGGACTCTCTCTTCTGAGCAGGACAGCATGATCTATGCCAGGCAGTATCCCATGATAGGGCAGCATGAAGGGTCATGTCAGGGCACAGCTCTAGGGGGCTTAAGTGGCCTGGCTATGGACATGGATAGGGAGGGCCTTTGGCAAGGCTACCCAGCAGTCAACACCTCCCCACCAAGCACAGAGCCCCACCTCAAGCCAGAGCTGGGCACACAGTCCCCTGCCCATGCACAGATGGAGGCCCCAGGCTCACCATGTTGTTGTCAAGGCTGTCACTGTCCCTCAGCTTCACGGGGTCAATTTCACAGGATCTGTGACTCTGGCATATCTGGGGAACATTGAGACACCAGGACAGGGCTCTGTAAGGGCTCCCAGCCTCATGTGGGTCAGTCCCTGGCTCAGAAGACAATAGATCATGACCTGTTACTGGCACAACCACACCTCTAGGTCCTCAAGGGCCAACATGCTCCCCCCCACACACATCCTCTATGCTACATACAGTTCCTCTATCTCTCTCTCACACACACACACACACACACACACCTCCTCGATGACAGGCTTCAGTGTGACATGCAGGTAATGCATTCCAGCCAGCTTCATGGTCTCATCAATGCACTTAGAGGTCAGTGAGTTTCCTCGGAAAATGGTGTTGGGGTCCCTGGAAGCAAAGTGGAGGGTGACTGTGTGACATCAGCTGGAAAGGGTGGGGCCTGCCTGGATATTGAGTTACCAGCCAGCAGGGCTCCATCCTGGCTCGGGCCACCCTCAGGTGTGTGCCATCATCAGAGGGTTATAACCTCAGGCATGGACTGGGCTGCCTTGGCATGGACATGTGCCAGTCAGCTCTAGCCAGGAGTAGCCCAGTGCAGCCTGGGGACCCCAGCTGGGTTACCAGTGCCTCCTTCCCTTTATTCATGCCAGATGCGTTCTTCAAAAAGTGACAAAGTGTGAGTGACAGGGCCTGGGTTGCGGAGGTCTCAGCCAGTGAAGGACAAGCTCAACAGAAGCAGGACCAGTACCTGGACCAAGGTCATTTCCCACTGCATCAGCTCCTGGAGAACTCACCTGGTATCCAGGCCCACTCTGACCTCCTGCAGGCCCTGCACCTGGGGACCATGCCCACTCTGACCTCCTGTAGGCTCTGCACCTGGGGACCATGCCCACTCTGACCTCCTGCAGGCCCTGCACCTGGGGACCACACCCACCCTGACCTCCTGCAGGCCCTGCACCTGGGGACCACACCCACTCTGACCTCCTGCAGGCCCTGCACTTGGGGACCACACCCACCCTGACCTCCTGCAGGCCCTGCACCTGGGGACCATGCCCACTCTGACCTCCTGTAGGCCCTGCACCTGGGGACCATGCCCACTCTGACCTCCTGCAGGCCCTCCTCCTGCAGGCCCTGCACTTGGGGACCACACCCACCCTGACCTCCTGCAGGCCCTGCACCTGGGGACCATGCCCACCTTGATCTCCTGCAGGCCCTGCACCTGAAGGACCACACCAGGGCAGATCCAGGGGGGCACTCACTGGGTCCTTTTCAGCTCGGCGTTGGCGATGGAGCTGAGGAAGGGCACAATCCGGCCGCAGTGCAGAAAGAGCCTCACCAGAGGGACGGCTGCCTCCTGCTTCTCTCGGCACACCTCACCCAGAATGTGAGCAGCTGACGCCGAGACTGGCTGTGCCAAGAGGGCCGGGAGGGCTAATTCAGGGTGCGCCTGAGGGCCCCAGACTCCTCCCCACACAGGGACTACTGCTCCTAACCCCCTCTGCTCCAGGGATCCCTGAAAACCCTGGAATAGCAGCTGCTGCTGAGGGCGGGGCCTATCCTAGCCCAGACCCAAACACAGTGGGGTCCACAGGCAGTCACAGCAGGATCCCGAGTGCCCCGGCAGAGGAGATGGGGTGTCCCAGGAGGGAGTGGACTGGAGGGGCCCTGGAGGAGTTACCCACAGGGCCAATGGGGGAGCCTGAGCCTGGCACTGGAGCCTAGGATGAGGGCCTGGCTCTAGGGGTGGAGCCTAGGGCAGGAGACAGGGGCAGAGCCCACCTCCACATCAGCAGATTTGAGCAGCAGGTCACGTAGGGGACTGTAATACTGGGAGGAGAAAACATGGTCTTCTGTGTAGACAACATTTAGCCTCAGTGAGCCCAGCTCATCCTGCTTCAGGCTGCGGCTGCCGTTGTCCCGGGGCTGGAGAAAATACCTGGGTGGGAAATTGGAGAACCACAAGGTGGGATGGGCACTCTGGTCTCTGCTGACCCTGGAGGTCAGCTTAGCTTCAGCTGTCTAGGCAGTATGAGGAGGGTCCTTGGCTGGGGAACCACAGGTGGGGCCTAGGGTAAGCACAACATCTGGACCCCTTGGACTTCTCCAGAGGGTGGGGACTGCCATCACCAGCAGGGCCCCTCCTCTTCTTTATGGAACATTCTTTGTGTTGGAGGGGAGGGAATAAGGTTTTTTTACTGTCTGGTCCTTGGTGTGATGTCAGAGATGCTGGCCAGGCCACATCTCTCGCCTATGTGGTGTGGGGGGACTGGGGGAAAACAGGATAACCTCTGTGCCAGGACCCGTGTTGGAAGTCTAGTTCCCTCCCAGCCACTCCATATTTACCCAGTATCCTGCTGACACACATAGGAGGAATAGAACCTGACCTAAGTGCCTGATCCCAGCCCTGCCCAGCACTGTGGGCAGTGGGGAGGGAACCACTTGACAGATGAACCCTCATTCTCTCCTGCTGGCACAATGCCTTATAGATAGACGCACACACACATATATAATACACATATGCACAAATACATACAGATGTGCATAGACATGTATGTCTAAACAGACACACATAGACACGCATTTACACACATGCATGAACATATAGATGTGCACGCACATAGACACATGTACACATATGCACAAGGAGAGCTATGCACACACATAAACATACATTCATAAACACATGGATATGCACAGACATATGCATAAATACACAGATGTGAACACAGAGACACATACATAAACATGCATGCATAGAGACAAATGCATGCACATACGTATAAACATACAGATATGCATAGACACATATGTATTCACAAACATGCATAGCCATAGACACAGATGCACACAGGTACATATGCATAACACACATCCATAAGCACACGGACAAAACAGGCAAATGTAAACACAGACACAAATACAGAATTAGACACTTAGATATACACATATATGCACATAGGTACACACAGACACACTCATCCATTCACGTGTACACAGATGCATACATACACAGGCACATAGACATACAGATTAGACAGACAAATAAACCTTAAAACAAAGGCACAGCCTGTATCCACCACATGGATGGAGCCAGCCCAGCTGCAGACAAGGCCTAGACCAAGCCAACACCAGTCCCACAGGTTACCCCAGGAGCTGTCCTGGGTCATCCCACATTTCTCACAGCCCTGGGTCTGCTGCTGCTGTGGCTGCCTGACCAGTGCAGCAGCAATGGGGAGAGGTCAGTATGAGCCTCTGGGATGCCTACCTGCCACATTCTTACCATGCATCATAGCAGCTGGATGCCCGCAGCACGGTCAGGGGCACGCGCAATTCTCCAAGGAACTCATCTCCGAACTTGAGGTTGCTGGCATTCCAGAGATCCACTCTGAAACCATGGGGCACAGTTTTCACCCCAGGGTGGGGTAGGATCGGCAAAGATCCCAGGAGCATGGGTAGGGAGCAGTCAGCATCACCACGCCCACAATAGCCACCCACACACCCTCCACTCACCTGAGCCATGCCAACCCATATGCCACCTCCACCTACCCTACGTGCCACACGCAGTCCTCACACACTCCACTCACCTGAGATGTGCCAACCCACATGCCACCTCCACCTATCCTACGTGCCATATGTAGTTCTCAAACCTTCCATATACCAGCCACACACAGTCCTCACACCCTCCACTCACCTGTCACACGCAGTCCTCACACCCTCCACTCACCTGTCACACGCAGTCCTCACACCCTCCACTCACCTGTCACACGCAGTCCTCACACCCTCCACTCACCTGTCACATGCAGTCCTCACACCCTCCACTCACCTGTCACATGCAGTCCTCATAAACTCCACTCACCTGTCACACGCAGTCCTCACACACTCCACTCACCTGTCACACGCAGTCCTCACACCCTCCACTCACCTGTCACACGCAGTCCTCACACCCTCCACTCACCTGTCACAAGCAGTCCTCACACCCTCCACTCACCTGTCACACACAGTCCTCACACACTCCACTCACCTGTCACATGCAGTCCTCACACCCTCCACTCACCTGTCACACGCAGTCCTCACACCCTCCACTCACCTGTCACAAGCAGTCCTCACACCCTCCACTCACCTGTCACATGCAGTCCTCATAAACTCCCACACACTTGCCCACATGCAGTCTTCATGCCCCTGTAGTTACCTTCCCGCACACAGTCTACATGTGATACACCCACCTGCCCACCTACACACCCATGCCCGCCAGGGGAGGTCCTGTGTTGTGCGCCCACCATCCTGGGCATGTGTGCCCTTTGCTCTGGGCTGCAGCTCCCCCACCCCCACCCCCCGCCCCACATCCTGGTCCTGCAGGTTCAGACAGGAATGGGTTGGGGCTCACTCACCTGATCTCCAGTTTGTCCACATCCTCCTCCTCAATGTCAAAGTGTGACTTCCTGCTGTAGCTGCTGGGCCTAGTCACCTGTCACAGAGAAGGGAGTGCTCGGGCCTTGCCCACAGGCAGGATCCACTTAATCCCAGATTCCCTCTTGGCTGCACCCTGGTGCAGGATCTCAGAGGCAGCAGGGCCACTGGGCCTGGCTATTTTCCTCTCTGCTTCAAAAGTGTTTCTTGCAAACCAGCTACATGGTCCTGTTTCTCCACACCTTGCCCACATCTCAAACACAGCAGAAACCCCGGCCCCTACGTCATGCCAGTGCTCCATACTCTGGGTAGACTCCAGGCCCTGCAGAAGGAGAGGAAGACCCACCTCGAAGTAGAATACTTCATCGAACTGGGGGTTGGTGGTCTTCCTCTTCACCTTTGTCTTCTTGGCCTCTGATCTGCAACACAGAGGGGTGGGTAGACACTACGTGTGCCTATGGAACCCAGAGGGTAGACAAGGACTTCTGCCCCCAACATCAACTGTAGGGCAACTCCCAGGGCCACAAATGAGACTTTCCAGGCACAATAAACTTGCCTGAGTGGACCAGCCAGAGTCACTGTGGCGTAAGGGTCGCACTGCCCGTTGACAATGGGGAGGCCTTGGCACTCGATAATACTGAGGAAAGAGAGGACATGGGGTACAGTGAGAGACAGGGCCAGTGTGCAGTCAGAGGACATGGGGTGCAGTGAGAGATGAAGTGTGTGTGCAGTCAGGACATGGGGACAGTGAAGAGACACATGTTCCCTCCTTTGAGGAACAAAGCTTACAGGGCAGGTCTCAGCAGGTGAGTACACCCAAGTCCCAGCAGGGCTACCCTTAGGCCTCTGGTTAACAGTGTTTGCATGTGTGTGTCCTAGGGTACATCCATATGTGTATGTGGTGTTTGCATGTGTCCATCCTGGCGTGCATCCACATGTGTATATGGTGTGTGCATGTGTGTGTCTTAGGGTGCATCTGTGTGTGTACGTGGTGTGCAGATGTGTCCCAGCATGCACAGCTTCCAACAAGTGACTTAGGGGCCAATCATGTGGCAGAATCTGCATTACACAGCTGTGCAGCTCTTCCTTGCTGGGGGTCATGTCCTTGTCAGGTGACCCTGGCTATGTCACATCTAACATAGGATGGCAGCACCAAGTACATGGTGCATGGAGACACCACAGCCTCTGGCTAGCATTTGCTCTGCTGGAGGCTGGAGCACCCATAAATGCTATGGTCTGGGAAGTTCCTGAACCTGGTGCCCCAGCACTTCTATATGGGAATAGCCCTGTGCAGGCTGGGTAGCAGAGGAGACCTGGCTGTGCCTCACCGGGCGGCGAGTTTGTGGCAGACAATGCCCGTGTCCGTGATGACCTCACTCAGTCGCAGATCCAGGTGGACCTTGCCCTGCGAGGCACAAAAACACCATCAGGAGAGGAGCAGGAGACAGTTTGGGGTGACAGTTGAGGGGCAGAGGCACCTAGAGCCACACCCAGGCACTGGCTCCCAGCTCTGCCGAAGCAGGTCTGGCATCACAGGCAAGGGACCCAGAACACAAGCAGTTACTGGACACTGACATAGCCTGGATGCCGTGTGCCCCAGCAGCACATGTCTGCAGGTGACACACACAGGGCTCATGAGCAGGTATTTCATGGTCTCCAGGTGCCTGAGAAGACAGTCAGCAGGTCTTGCCCAGAGGGGATGAGGGGAGTCTTCCCTGGAACAGACTGCAGCCCTATGCAGCATGCCATGTGGGTAATGAGTTAGGAACACACACTTGATGCTACTCTACTCCTTAGCCAAGGAAGCAGGGGCTGCAGGTAGAAGCCAGTGCAGCTTCAGAGTCTGCACACCTCTAGCCACAGATCAACATGTGTGCTTACCTCTAACCACAGCTCAACATGTATGTGCTCACCTGATTACAGAGCAATATGCATGTACTCACCTGAATACAGATCAACACGTGTGTGCTCACCTCTGACCACAGATCAACACATGTGTGCTTACCCAATTACATATCAACACGTGTGCTTACCTCTAACCATGTATGAACATGTGTGTGCTCACCTCTGACCACAGCTCAACACGTGTGCTCACCTGATTACAGATCAACACGTGTGTGCTCACCTCTGTCCACAGATCAACACGTGTGTGCTCACCTCTGACCACAGATCAACACGTGTGCACTCACCTCTGACCACATATCAACACGTGTGCTCACCTGAATACAGATCAACACATGTGTGCTCACCTCTGACCACAGCTCAACACGTGTGCTCACCTGAATACAGATCAACACGTGTGCTCACCTGAATACAGATCAACACGTGTGTGCTCACCTCTGACCATAGAACATGTGAGCTCACTTCTAACCTCAGATCAACGTGGGTGCTCACCTGATTACAGATCAAAATGTGTGTACTCACCTGAGTACAAATCAACATGTGTGTTCACCTGACCACAGATCAGCACATGTGTGCTCACCTGAGTATAGATCAACATGTGTGCCCACCCCTGGCCACAGACGAACATGGATCCCAACCTCATGCCTCACCTGCACCTCTGAGTCAGCATCCACATGCTGTAACTGGAACCAGGTGTCCCTGTTGTGGTACTTCTGCAAGTCCTCTTTCTGGATGGCCACCTTTCCTGTGACACACATGGTAGACATCCTTAGAGGGCAGCCCCTTCCCCAGTCTCTCTGCCCTTCCCAGTGGGATTCTGGCAGCTACCCAGGGTGGGTATCCAGTGACAGGGTAAGGACACAAGCTATTAGGATCTCTCTGTGTCCTTGACCCCCCCCAAGCAGTGAACAATGCAGCCTCCTTCGGGACGTTTACACTGCATCTTTCCTTTAACTGCACAGGAGGCCAAACCTTTCAAATTTGAAAATGCTCCAATACACTATTTTAGCATCATCCCCATTCCCCCCTCCCCTTTCCCTGTACCTTGGAACTTTCCCCACTGCTCAGAACAGGCCAGGACCCTAAAGTTATGAAAGGCCCAGCCTGCTGAAAAATTAGCCTGTACTACATGCTTCTTCTGCTTGCAGGTTGGGAGCTGGTCACATCCTTGAATTTAACTTGAACAAATCCAACTTGGCTGTGAGTCAGCTTGGGGCAGAACTGGCCCTGGCAGCATCACCATGTTTCCTCTAGGGGCCAGGCAGGCCAGTTCTGCCTGGAGGTGCAGATACCATGTCCCACCCCACAGCACACAGACCCTCCCCTGGAATCAAGCACCAAGCTGCACGATGCTGTCCTGTCCCTTCCCCGGCATCCCCTGGGGTAGCTGTAGGGATGGGGAAGAACAAGAGCTCTGCCAGCTGCCTGCACAGCAAGCATATCAAGTCCCAGGAGGATGAGGGTGGAGAGAACAAAGATGAGGGCAGGTGGCAACCATGACTGGCCGCACAACACAGAGAGCTCCCTGATGTGTGCTCACATGAGTTGCAACTCAGGACATACCTGTGCACACCTGTACATCGGGTCTCCTGGCACAGCTGGGTGAAGGACTTCCTGATATGTGCTCATATAAGCTGTAACTCAGGACACACCAGTGCACAGGACATGTCAGTGCACACCCATAAGCAGGGTCTCTTGGCACGGAGGCCCCACAAGCTCTCAGCTGGAAAATCTTACCAAGGAAGAGTCCTCAACCTGGTCCTGCTATTGCGGGGGTGACACCTGCAGTTTCCAGTATGAGTCAGCAGATTTGAGGAAATGGATCATGCCCCCTTACCCAGCCCAGCCAGAGCAGGCCTCTAAGCACTGAGCACTCCTCTTGGTCATGCTGCCCCCAGGCGCCTCTCAGAAGCCAGGGCTGTTTACTTCTCAGGCCACAGTGACTCTGTGTGTGCATGTGTGAGTGTGGAGTGGAGCCTCAGGTGTGTTGTCAAGGCAAGCCATACCATTGACTTGGGTGCCAGGCCTAGCAATGAAGCCCCAGGGCTGCAGGAGACCCGAATCAGCCTAGGCATGCGGAGCTGTCCTCCTGAAGCTTCCATCTCCAGGACACTCTGTGTCTTCCCTCATAGCCGAGACCTTGGAGCCTCGGCACCACGGGCTCGCATAGCGAGGTGGGGCTAGCGAGAGCTCCACGGCTGCATACTCCTGACAGGTAGGTGTGTCTCGGCCAGGTTGCCTGAAGTCTGACGTCCTTAGCCTGGCCTTGTACTCCTTTCCTGAGGAGTTCCTGTTAAGGCTGATTTTACTTCCTCTCCCTCGGGTTTGTTCCAACTTGTGTGAGAGCCTCAGGCATGGGACAGGGCCAAGTGTGACAGAGTGGTCACCATCACACCCAACAGAAGGCAGAGAAGTCAGACTAGGCATCTGTAGAGTGTCACCAGACTCATGGTAATGTTGGCTACACCGTCCCAAGGGGCTCCTTAGCAAGTGGGCCTTACTCCCCAGGGTGCAGGCTGAGATGTTGGCCTGTGGAGGTATGCAGAGCCCTAAGCGCAGCCTGATTGCTTGACAGAGGGGTTCTCACACACCCCAGAGAAGATCTCTGGACTTAGAGTATATCCCAGCACCAAGGCCCTCATGGGACACAAGTGGTCCCTGTGGGAATGCTGGGCTCCCGTGCTCCTCCTGCTGTGTGCCAGCTGAGCCAACTGGAAACAGCAATCATGCTGTAGATGAGTTAACCCTGGGCTTTTGGGAGAAGAGTCCAGGACTGCCTGCAGAAGAGTCCAGGACTGCCTGCAGCAAAGCCCAGATGGATGCCCTGAAGCCACAGATAAACCCAAGATAGGCAGTGTAAGAGATACACAGAACACGTACCTGCTCGGCGGGGGAAGGTGCTGGGCACACACAAGGCCTGGCTCTAACACGGGTCTCCCAAGATGGCTGGTGCAGCCTGGCCACCCCAGGCACTGCAGAGCGCCCCCCCCCCACATGCCCCCACTCCGCCAGGGCAAGGGCCTATGGTCTAGAAACCTCCACCCAAAGTGGGGCAGGGGAATGTCTTCTCACACATGTGACTTGTCTGCCCATGTAAGTTTTCAATTTGTAAAAATGTGTTGCTAGTGATGAAAAGCAAGATGTTCTGCTGCTTTTAAGAAATGGGAAGACCTGGTGCCCAAGGCCACCATACACAGAGAGGACACAGAATCCGTTTCCAGTGGAATATCCTGAACCAGGATAGCATAGCAGCTCCGACAGGGCCCTACAGTCCAGAGGAGCCTGGGTGTCAGCCGACAAAGTCCCACTGAGCTCTGCCTCAAACAGGGCAGACAACATGTGGTCAGCACAGTGTCCTTTGTCACAGGGACCTGATCAGATGGTGTCTCCCGCCTGCATCTGACACAGAGTCAGATGGTATCCCTTGCCTTCTTTGTGTCATGGGACCTTGTCAGACAGTCTCACTCCTGCTCTTATCACAGGGACCTCATTCAGGATGGTGTCTCCCCCCTGCTCCTGTCACGGGAACCTGGTCAGTTGGAGTCTCCTGTCACAGGGACCTGGTCAGATGGAGTCTCCTGTCATGGGAACCTGGTCAGGATGATGTCTGCCCGCTGTGTCTGTTGTTCAACCCAGGCCATCAGGGTCAGGATCAGTCTGCCTCCAGATGTTGTTATAAAGAAAACCACTTGCTCAGTTCTTTATCACATGTTACAGCAGTGAACACAAAGATACAAACGTCCATTGATGTCATGCTGGCATCCATGAGCATCTAGCTCTCTCAGTGAAAGCTGACCAGAGACACAGGTATGTAAGAAGTAAGGCTGGATGGAAGGAATGAGTGTGACTTGGGCACCAGTAGATGGTTTACACTAAGTGGGAAGAATAAGCATGAACCGAGTGAGTGTGAGGAGCATGTGTGAGGTGTACCTGAGGTGTGCATGAGGAGCACTGCGAGGTGAGGACTACATCTGATGTGCACCAGTATGTGCTGGGGCACATATGAGGTATGTGAGGTGCATGTGAGACTAATGTGACAGGCACATGTGATTTATGTATAATAGTGTATTTCGACTGTGAGGAACACACACATGTTGCTGTGAGCAATGCCTGGGAACTTGCCATCACCACTTCAGTGTCTGTCCATCCTTGGGTGGTCCAGCTGGGTTTCTGCATTCCACTGAATTCTGAGGGACCTCAACTGCTGCCCACCGGGGTGGCCAAGCTCACAGGGCCTAGTTACCCACGCTCCTCAACTCCCTTGACAGGCTCAGGAGTCCTACACCCATCTTCCTCTCCCTCACCCTCCACCCAGTATACATGGGCCCTCTCCAAACAGAAACCATCCCATGGGCCTTCCTGTCTGCCACTGCTCCAGCCACAGCTGTCTTCCAGGGGAGGATATGTTATTGCCACCCCCTTAAAACTAGAGAAGAGCCTCAGGGGCTCCCCTGGCCCTTCACTGGTCCACAAGACAGCCATGGCAGGAGCAGTGAGGAGGGTGATCCTGTACAGAACCTGGGAAGCAGGCCTGGTGATAAGATGCCATCGGGGATGGTTTGAGGTGCCCTTGCCCATGCCTCGCAAGACTGGAGGTTGTATGTGGAATCCAGCATAGGATCCTGCTGATAGGACAATTCCTCCACTGAATGGGGAGATGCCCACTGAGGCCAGCAGCTGCTTAGGCCCTGCTCCATAGGCAGCCCATCACTCAGAACTACCTGTGACTTGGAACAGGGACGACCACAAAGACACTCCTTGCTTCCACTGGGGTGGGATTTGATTCCCAAGAGGCAGAGAAGAAGAAGCCATCCACCCCATCACCTACCTATGATGGAATCCCTCCGGAAAACATCCCGGTCAAAAATGTAAAACGACAGGTAGCGGAAACTCCGGGGAATTTCACAGTAGAAATCTTCTCCATAGAAGGGGCTGGAAGACAAGCAGAGGTCTATCAGACCCATTCATGTTCTAGGAGCTGTATACCAGCCCAACCCAAAGCCAATTTAACTTCTCTGCAGGGCCTCTTGGGGAGCTCCTTCTCAGCACCAGATGTGACCGTGTCATTTTGCTTTTGTTTCTATTTGAGAGACAAAGGCGGATCTCCTATCCATAGAGTCATTTCCCAGATGCATGCAGCAGCCCAGACCAGGAGGGTCGAGAGAGAGAGGGTCGAGACCCAAGCCAGAGGACTTGCTTTCCACATACCCTAGAAACAGTTGTTACACCCACAGTAAAGCGGACAGTACAGGGTCTCCTGCCTTTCCTGAGACTGTCATGAGGGACCAACAAACCTCTGTACACAGCCCGGTGGAGCACAAGCAAAGTCAGAGGGCACAGCAGGGCCTAGGGCTGTTGGCCGAGCATAGGCACTCTGGAATGGTAGCTAGCTGGGGAAGTCAGCAGGACTCTGTGCCCAGGGCCACGCCTGCTCCTTTCCAGAGACCAGTGGCTGTCCCAATGGGGACAAGTGGCACAAAGCCACTCTTGCACTGTCAATGGCCTAAGTCCCAAAGGGGACACCTCTAAATGGAAAGCAACAGGAAGACACCATGCTTGCCAGGGATGTCCCCACAGCCTACCCAAACATTAACTCAGCACAGCCTACAGAAGTGGTACATCACAGATTCCAAAAGAAAAACATAAACTCAATCTAGAACCTGGAGCCCAGTATAGATTTCCAGATTGGACCCCTGCTGGGCATGCAGGTAGTTGTGTAGCTCTGACATTTGTGGAATAATAGTTTTTTGGTCATGGGTGTGTAGACTGGACCACATGATGCACTTGGAATGCTGGGAGGGGCACAGGCCTCTGGGTCTCTGGAGGTAGCCCCAGAACAGGTACTCAGGACCTGAGGATGTCAGTTCAAGTTCAGTTTAGATGCTGTTTTGGTTCACAGTCTGACTTGGCTGCCCCATTCAGGCTGAAAATCCCCACCAGTGCCAGGGAATGTGTCTGCCATACCCATGCTGAGTGGCCCCCACTGGAGCCAGATGTGATGTGTCTGCCACACCCACCAAGAGCAGCCCCCACCAGCACCATGTGTGATACGGCTGCACACCCATGCTGAGGAGCCTCCATGAGAGCCAGGCCTAGCAGCCTTGCTGAGAACTGAAATAAGACTCCTGATTCCCAAAGAAGCTCTCAGGGGTATTTTAGTAAACACACCCTCCTCCACACACATACACAAAACAGACTAGCTACATCAACAGCATAGTTGCCTTAAAAAAAGAGCAAATCAGACTCAATGAGAACTAATTTGATGACAGCTATATAATATTTGCTTTAAAACCAGCAGGATGATGCCAGAGTGACAGAGGAGGAACATGGGTAATGCAGTCATCTGACAAGAACCAGTGACTTACACTGAACCCCATGCTGCACTGCACAGATGTTGTCCCTAGCCTGGCCTCCAAGGCCATGCCATAGGACAGGCACAATCACAAGGAGCAAGAGCACTTTCCATCTATTTGGTCACGCCCTATTGACCTCGACATCCGTGGCTGGACCAGGAGGTAGAACTCAGATGTGTCTCTTGTGGGTGCCTAGGACCCACAATATGAATTACCATTGGCTGCCTACCAGGGTGGCCACTTGTGTGGCTGGCTCTTTGATGGACGCACTCAATCCTGGACAGTCTGCTAAGAGATGCAGGCCATAGGCCATGTACTACCTGCCCGCCCCCTTGAACATCTCAGAAAGTAGCTGGGAAAACCTCTTCCCTGCACTCAGGGCCAGGAGATCCAGCTCCTCAGGGGCTTATTTTTACAAGTCAGTATTCCCGAGGGTCCCACATCCACACCTGCACCAGCAGCTGGCACTTTGGCCCACAGGCAGGAGCTGGGAGGTGGGGAGACCTGTCCTCTCATATCCCACTAACTGTCCTGGTTCCTATTTTTATTTACATTGCACTGCTCGATGCTCCCTCTTGTCCCTCATCTCACACTCTCCAGAAATGGCAAGGCATCTGTGGAAGACAGCCAGAGTTCCATTTTGACTGCCCCCAGCCCTGACGTGGGCTAACACATCTTGAGTCAGGAGATCTAGCAGCAGGTTGAGCATCAGTGCAGAGGGAGAGGAGGAAGAGGAGAAAAGCAGGGGCCCTGAGGAGGAGGAGGGCCCCAGTTTATACTGCTGTGAGGAGGGGCAGGTGCAGGTTTGTTCTCTACACACAGCACAATGGAAATAAGCTAAGCTCTGGCAGGTAAAATGTGTAGCACACCAGGCAAGCTGCCAAGCTACAGAAACACAGGGAGCAGACGAAGGTTCATGGACTCAGCTCCTGCTGCCTTCCCGTGATAAGGCAGGAATATGTGCACACATTTCCACACATGGGAACTTGGCCCTGATGGCACCGCCTCACAGCACACACCCCAGCTGGTCCCTCCCAGGGGATGGCTGCTCCCAGGGAGGTGGTGCCCAAGGCCTCAGACAGGTCACACCCTCCACAAGTACTGACCACTGACCAATTGATACCTGCCTCCTTCTGGGCCCTATGAGTACTTTTAAATTTTGTAAAACTTGAAGAAAAAAAACTATTTTATTCAAAATTTTAAACATTTTATTTTTAATTAGAAAGACAGATTTATACAGCGAAGGAGAGACAAGAGAGAAAGATTTTCTGTCCACTGGTTCACTCTCCAAGTGGCTGCAACGGCCAGAACTGAGCCAATCTGAAGCCAGGAGCCAAGAGCCAGGAGCTTCTTCCAGGTCTCCCACACAGGTGGCAGGGTCCTAAGGCTTTATTGCTTTCCCAGGCCACAAGCACGGAACTAGATGGGAAGTGGAGCATCCGGGACATGAACCAGCACCCATATAGGATCCAGGCACATACATGGTGAGGATTTAGCCAGTGAGCGATCATGCTAGGCCCTATCTGAAGTATTTAAATTCCAGTTGAGGTTGAATATCCCATATTAGTGCGACGTGACCACCACAGGCATGGTTGGACCAACTGAAGCTGAGAGCTGGGACCCTACTGGATCTTTCACACAGGAGGCAGGGGTCCTGCTACGTGACCACCACAGCCATGGTTGGGCCAGCTGAAGCTGAGAGCTGGGAACCCCACCAGCTCTCCCACACAGCAGGAGGGGTCCAGTTGCTTGAGTACCACTGTTACTTCCCAGGTCCACAGTGCTGGCATCCCATATGGGCACAGATTTGTGTCCTGGATGCTCCACTTCCCTTTCAGCTCCCTACTTGTGATCTGGGAAAGCAGCAGAAGAGTCAAGTACTTGGGACCCTGCACCCGTGTAGGAGACCCAGAAGAAACTCCTGGTTCTTGGTTTTGGATTAGCTCAGCTCCAGTCATGGAAGCCATTCGGGAGCAAGCCAGCAGATGGACAATCTCTCTCTCCTCTTCCCTCTATAAAATCTGCAATAATAATAATAATAATCTGCAATAATAATAATAATGTCTTTGAATGAATAAAATTCCATTTTCTCTTAAAATGTTGTTGGCCTATGTCCTGCTAGAACATCCCTCTTTCATGTTCTCCTGCTCAGGGTATTACCCACTCAGAAATTCTGATTTTGCGTGGCAACTCACTGACAGAGCAGTATGGACAACATGTGAAGAACGTCTTTTTCAATGAGAACACCACACACATGTTAACAGCTTTGTCACCAGTGGCCATGTGTGACCCATGGTTCTGAAACACAACATTCGAGGCATATGGACCCCCGCCCCAGCCATGTCACCACTTGGGCAGGAGGTGACCCTGGGTAACCACTGAAGCCGAATCCGAGGAAAGAGGACGGGGCCCTGTGGGGGAGGGCCGCAACCTCGCTTCTCTCGGCCAGCCCACTCCCTCCGCATCCATCAACCGGGCAGTCTGCACTGTCCCTTTTCAAAGGACAGGAAGTGGCTGAGTGCAGGGTGCCCCTCCCACGGCTGTGCGGACAACGTCTTCTTTCTGACAGACCATGGGGTAGTGGGGGAAGGATGCACAGCCCCAGGCACTGCCTTTTCTGCTGGCTGCCTAACCCTGTGGTGTCTCCCGCATAGTCACTGCCTTGTCCAGGCGTGGTCAGTAGGGCCAAATGCATGATTCATGCCCCAGCCAGGCGGGCCCCAGAACCCTCTGCCAAGTGGATGAGGGCCCGGCTAGCCTCACCCTCAGCTGTGCCTCTGCCTAAGCCCACAGTGATTCCCAGAGATGCACACTCAAGCATCTCTCCTGAGAAGAAACGAGCAGCGGGCAGGGGACAGAGTGGGCTGTGCCCCAGGGATGTCAACTCAGGCCGCCCGTGAGTCACTTCCCCACATCTGTTGGCAGCCGCCTGCTCCTGACCTTATAATGAACAGCACCTGCCAAGGGAAGATGGGCAGGGCTGGTCTGATGCAAATGTCTGTTTCCCAACAGCTGGGGGCTGTGTGCAGAGAACAGAGTGGACAGAAGAGCCCATGAGAGCCCTGGGCCAGGTCCAGTTCCAAGGAGGCGCCAAGGCTGCTGAGATCCACCCTGAAGAACCTGCCTCCTTAGAACAGTTCCCCAAGCACCCAGGGCTCTGAACAACCACTGTGTGCAACAGGAGGAGTGGAAGAGAAGAGACAGGGACTGCCCGTCTGGACACCATGTACTACAGCTGCTCCTAAGGGACTTCACGCTGGCTATCCTCCTCCACGTCTGGACAAACACAGAGAAACCAGCAGGTTCCTGTCAGGTGTCTTTCACAGCATATACTTGAGATTCTAAAACCCCTGGAAGCCCCAACACAGCCCCTAGTCCCAGGGCTCATCACCCCTGACCACACCCCTGCAGTGTCCTGCAGAGAGGGGGATGCTGCTTGGAAGGTCATGACAGGAAGGCACATGTGTAGGTCACTGTCAGACCAACAGCCTGGCTCTGCACCAGTACCATGCTATACCATGCCAGCATCATACCAGTATCACGTCAGCATGTCGGCACTATACCAGCACCATGCCAAAA